AAATTGACTAATGCACAAGGCCCAGAGTTCAAACCACAGTACTGTCAAAAAAGAAAGAAGGAAGGAAAGAGAAAGAGAAAGGAAAGGAGGGAGGGAGGAAGGGAGGAAGGGAAGGAAGGAAGGAAGGAAGGAAGGAAGGAAGGAAGGAAGGAAGGAAGGAAAAATAAAATTCCTGAGCAGTGACTCTCAATGACTTTAAACAACTGACTTGATCTTAGTTCCACACAGAAGACAGAGCGCTGGCCTAAAATCCAGAATGCCTGACTTCTTTGTGAAGGCCTCTTGTCACCTATCTGCTATAGGGTCTGGCCAGGGCCACATTCATAAACACACATGCTTAGGTCACCAACAACAGGAGTATTTAAAGAGGGAGGGGTAGGAAGAGAAAAAAATCTAGTAAGAAGCAATTTTAACTGCAGCATACAAGTCAGCTTTGAGTCATCTCAAAACTATAATACTTTCTTTAAAAGTTTCTATTACTTTAATTTGGAATTAAATATGAGGAGGCACTAAGATGTTTTCAGCATTCAAAATTACTGAAGGTCCTGGTCCAGCTGGGTGACTTTGAACACTCCTTCCTCTTTCCAGGCTTGGGTTGTCAGATGCTATCATTTATCACGTAGTGTAAATAGACCCCACCCAAGCCAGAGAAGTACAGACAGGGACAGATGATGCAAATGCTCCCTTTTTCTCCTGAAACCTAATCAACTTCATCAAGGTTAAAGTTGAGCCCAAGAGCCATAACTTAAATGCTCTCTTGTTACTCTACTACTCTGACTCTGACGCTTTTATCACTTTAGCTGTTCACGTGTTTAAAAAAGAAGATTGAATTTCTTGTTTCTAAAGTAGAGGAAATTCTAGTGGACATTTTGGTATTCCAATTTCCAGGAAAGATGTTTTCAACACATGGAAATACCATGAAGCAGACCAGGAATTTCATGGTATTTTAAAAGAAAATGGAAAGTGAAGAAAAAAGAAAAAAGGGAGAAAAAAGAAAGGGAACGGATTTGTTTTCCCCTTATCTCCCATTTCTATCAAACTACTGGCCCAAGAGCCCCTGGGGATGACAGATATAACAGTGCAAAATAAGCTCTGGCAAAACATTCTGTCTCAAGTCCACAAAGATCTTCTTTGCTACATTTGACTCAGGAGGCCTTGCCCCATCCTCCTTAAAAACAGTCACACTCAGAGTGTACATACCCATTCCAATGGCCAACCAGCTTTTGTTAAGAAGCACAATTTGATTTTTTAGTTTTCATTTTTCTGTCTTTTTTTTTGGTACCAGAGTTTGATCTCAGGGCCTTGTGCTCCCTCTTGGCTTGCTTGTTTACAGCTGGTGCTATACCACTTGAACTATGCTTTCAGTTCAGATTTTTGCTGGTTATTTTGATGATAGCATCTTAAAAAAACTTTTCTAGCCTCAAGTCTTCGTTTTCCAGATCTAAGGCTCCTAAGTAGGATTAAAGGCCCATGCCTGTCTTGGCTAAAGCTTCTTCTTCCTCCTCCTCCCTCTCCCTCTTCCTTTCCCCCTCCCTCTCCTCTTCCACCTCCTCCTCCTTTTTCTTCTCCTTCTCTGCCTCCTCCTCCTCTTCTTCTTCTTCTTTTCTTTCTTTTTTAAATCTCCATACAGATTTATAACAATCTTCCCTCACACTAGATATATGATTTGAAACCTAAATAAGCCAGTAATCCTTTCTGATTTGGAGTTGGAATTGCTACAAAGTTGGAAAATCACAAAGTAGAAATCTTACATAAAGATAAAGAGGGAGTTTTCACCATGGATCCTATTTGAATATAGTCAAGCCAAAAAAAAAATCCAAGGAGTAAGAGCCTGTTTCCCACATAAAGTTTGTGGGGTAATGTAAAATTATAGCTCTCCAGTTTTATTACACACACCTAGAGTTATCCAGTGCTTCAATGACTTCCTGAATCTCAAAGGAGATATCATACCCCTAGGCCAATGGCCTGACTGCTTTTGTAATTATCATCTAAGCATCTACAAACATTAAATAGATCTCTAAGGGAGGAGTTGGAAAGCTTGCATTGACTCAGCATATCATGGCAGGCTTGGAGCTATTTCCCACTGGCTTTCACCATACCATTGCTGTGATGAAAAACAGAAAGTACAGGCCACAGCTGCAAGAAAATGGGTAACATCCACAGCCACATGTGGGGGGAAAATTCAATTTACAGGCAGAGACATGCCTAGGGTGTGGCAACTGCCACAAATCCACAACCAGAAGGATGTGATGCAAAGCACCCTATCCTCCATCCAGTTACAAGAATGCCAAGGGCAGTCTGAAAGGGGTTCAAGTTACTAAAGAACAGCCTCTAGGGGAAGAAGATGGCTTTGCCAGGCAACCAGGCAAGTCCACTCCCAACCTTGTAAACTTGATGTAGATAAGTGCTTGGACTCCTTTAGCATGGGCTTTCCCTCTGCCATTTTTTCCCTTCTCCTCTCTCTGATGTTTCCCAGGGCTACAGCTCAGCCTGCAAGCTATGGACCAGTGTAACCTGCCACTATTCAGCCTTTCAGTGTCAACCAAGTTGTCCTGGCAGAGAGGATACAAGCTGCTGGCCTGTCAACTATCTCATTTGCTATGTTCCTTCCAAGCCTTTCTCCCTCCTTTCTAGGTTTCTCCTGCCCCATAATTTTAAAAAATAGCTACAGGAAGGATATGAGGGGGAATTTGGCCAGATGGGTGATATGTAGAGTAGCTGACCGGAAGTGCTGATCCCCAGCAAAACGGTCAGCAAGGGAGTGCGAGTGCTATGAAAAAAAGGTAGCAGAAAAAAAATTAACAAAACCTATTTTGTTTGTTGTCAAAATCTAATGTTCAGCCTTCTGGACACCTTGTTGAAGCTTATGTTTGAGCAAAATGGGGGTGCCAGATGGTACTGTGATTAAACTCCCCAACTCTCTTTGCATTTGGCACATATTCAGACCATTGCTGCGAAGGCCTGATTTCAGTGCTATACAATCACAGCTCCTGAAGAGAAAAGCATGCACTGAGAACCACAAGGGGATTTTAGGGCAAGAAAATGGAAAAGCAGATATTTTTGCCAAGTTGCAGAAGGTAGCTGTGTTCCATTTACACAATGGACCCTAGGGTGCCTATGACCAGAGTGGCACATACATTCTCAAAGGCAAGGTGTTAAAGATGATAGATGAACACTCTCCCAGCTCCTGAAAACTTCCAAGAAGTCTGACTAATAGCAATTTATCTTTAAAATGGTTCCCTTCCTTTCAAATATATCCATAGATGGCAATCCTAGCTATTCAGGAGGCTGAGATCTGAGGATTGTGATTCAAAGCCAGCACAGATAGGAAAGCCCCTGAGATTTACCTCCAATTAACAAACAGAAAACAAATAGTGGAGCACTACCCTTGAGTGAAAATGCTAAGGGAGAGCACCCAGGCTCTGAGTTCAAGCCTCAGCACCATTCCATAAAGCCACTTCATTTTAACTGAACAGATCATTGGAAGGGATTAGGTCCCGAGGTGACCTGGTGAAGCTATGGGCCAGGAAAACAGCAGATCAAAATGTATGAGTTTGGAAGGCAGAGACTCCTCCCTGTGCATAACTTACTCTGCTTAACTCAGTAGGTGGCTCTCTGCAAGCTGTATGAGGATTTTGAAAATGATTCCCCAAGTTGTGTTATCAAATTTCTCCCAGACTAATCCTGGTAATCGGTGGGACACCCCTCCTTCCCCTGCAAAGAGAACAATGACCTTGTAACCTTTTTTGTTAACTGAGAACTAGCCAGATTTAGACCCTCAGCTTTCCTAGTCTCCAGTCCTGTAGTGGCTTCTAGTTCCATCTCTACATTCCATCTGGCCATCATCTGTGCCTTCCACCTTTCTTTTCTCACAAGATTAAGTTCATTTTCCTTCACCAGTGACCTCAGTTGTTTACCTCAGAGGCCTAAGACCTTTGTGAAGAGGGGTGTCGGGCCTCTGACTCCTGTCTTTCAGGAAAGGGCTCAGTCTACAGTGGTGAGGGGCTGACACAGGCAATTATTTCCTAAAGCAGCTGGCAGCTTACAATTCAAAAGTCAGCCAGTAACCAGCTTCTATTTCTATCTGAAACTTCCTGGCCACACTGCTCCCTCTCTTAAGTTTTTGGAGGCGCCAATTTGGCCCCGTTACCTGGCATACCTTGTTGTGGTCTGTATTTCCAGCGTATTCTAACTCCTAACTTTTATCAGAAGTCTTGCTCTTAAAAGGGAGCGCTACATTTCTTTCTCCAAAGTGCTGAGATGTAAAGTAGGGCAGAACAAGGGCCTGGGTCTCCCACCCACTGTCTCACAGGTCCTGCATGCTCGGCGAAGACACTCTGGACCTGGCGATTCTCAGGCAAGGCCATTTGCTACAGTGAAACGCACTTGAGGAAATTCATGACAGACGGTTTCTGTAAATAGGTTTCTCTCTCCAGCAAATCTGTGTAGCTGGACCTTAGCGGCAGGGGGTCAGCCCAGGGCCGGTTTCCCTTGCCCCTGCCGGTCACTCCCTGGCGTTGACGCCCCAGAAAGAGACTGGAAAAGGGCTAAGCCACTGCTCCAAGCGCCTGCCGCGTCCTCGCGGTGAAAGGCGGGAGGCACCGCCGCCACATAGGTGGCGGGCCGCTCAGGCGCGCTTTCCGAAGTGGCCAAGCACATCATAGCAGCCATTCGGTTTCCGTCGCCACTGTGAGAGGGATGCCTGGGTCCAGAAGGCGCTGAGGAAGCTGTCCAGAACCCACCCTCAAACTCCCCAATATCGGCCGCTTTGAGCTGAGGGCAGAGGGCCATTGGGGATGGAGGGACCCAGTCCAAGAGCAGGAAGTTCCAGGGGTAACGCGGTGGGGGGGGGGGAGTGAGGGGGAGGAGAGTTGAGAGAGTTGAGGAAACGGAATTCCCAGCTCACCAAGAGGAGGGAAAGGAAGAAGCGCCTGCTCGAGCCCCCCGCCCCCTCCCTCCAGGGTCGCCGCGGGGCCGAGAGACAGCGGGGCGCCGTTTACCTAGCTTGTCTTCGTCCTCCTCAGGGCCGAGCAGGCGGCAGGGAAGGCGGCGGCGGAGGCGCACAGTGCGCTGGTACAGGCAGTCGGTGCGGCGGCCCAGGGCCAGCAGGTGCCCCTCGAGGTCCTCGAGAAGACCCAGTGAGTGGCCACAGAGGTCAGCGAGCTGCCGGAGCAGGCTGAGTGCGGCCAGGTGGCTCACGTCGCGGAGCTCATTCAGCGGATGTGGCGGGTTTCGCGGGCACAAACGCTGGGGGACCACCGTGCGCCTATAGAATGGCATCTCAGACGCGGGAGCCAGGGACCAGCTAGACCCTAGCCGCGTCCCAAACGGAGTAGCACCCCTAGTCCAAGATCCTGGATGGATCCAGCCCCCGGTCGCGGGCCAAAGAGGCAAAAAGGGTGGGCGGGCTGATGGGCTCACAGCCTGGAGCGCCGGCTTCCCCAGGGCTGCACGCAAGCTGCAGCCAGCAGTCCTTCTGACTCTGCTTCTCTGGGCTCCACCTCCTCCTCCCCGCCTTTCTCCTCCTCTTTTGCTCTCTGCTACTTCAGGATCCCCTCCACCCACCCTTTCCCCCCTTCTTTTGCGGTCAGAGATTCGAAGATTAATGCTTGATTCAGGAAAGGAAGGAAAGGGAAGTAAAGGAATAGAAAGTCGGAGCCCGAGGGTAAAAAGGGGGATATCTGCACGCGCTCCTCTGTGTGTGTGTGTGTGTGTGTGTGTGTAAGGAGTTGGAGTGGTGATGTTCCATGCACAAAGTATGCCTGCGTCCTCCTGTCCTATTCAGAGTTAGAGTTGTTTTCTGCTTTGTGCTTTGAACTTAAACTTTCTTCTTTGTAAATGGGGAAAATTCAAGTGCCCCTCGTGCCCCACAGCAGTGAGTAACTACTGGAGACTGACCGAACTGTCTGCCTTCATTCATCTAACTCTCTTCCAAGTGTCATGAGCCAGGCTAGCATCCAGGGTCTTGGAAATAACGAACCAAGTATCTTGACTCAACTGTTCAATTGGACTGCATGCTGTAGAGGCCTGGAATGGAATGAATGAAAATAAACCCATTTTGTGGAATAACTAATTCCATTTAGATAGAGGAACACCAGTCCCCCAATGAGAACCAGAGCTAATTCCTTCTGGTGGGGCCTGCCAGCTGGATGGGCTCCATCCCTGGTCTCAGAAGGCTCTTGGGATGTCCCAGAGGATGGGGTTCAGGAACTGGGATATGCTTTCAGTTCTGACAACCCTGTGGTCACATTCTGATTGCCCCGATTTCAGTTTTTTTTTCTTTTTTCAATTCTCTCCTCCTACAAATGTTCACTTTCTTAGAATCTGTTAACAAAACACTTTGAATAGAATACTTGTGTCTGCTAATGATCCTGAGTGCCGCCTGTTTCCATTCATTCCTTCTGAGAATTAATTGCCCTTTACATAGTTCAAAAGGGCTCTACAACTGGTATATTTCAAAATTGCTAAGAGAGTAGATTTTTTAAATGTTTGTCAAAAGATCCCAGTCAGTATGCGAGGTGATTAATACATTCAACGGCTTGATTTAACCATTCCACAATGCATACATATCTGTTTCCCACATATAGGTATAATTATTATTTATCCATTGAAAGTAAAGAGCCACGTGCTGGTAGCTCATACCTATAATCCTAGCTACTCAGGAGGCTGAGATATGAGGATCACAGTTTGAAGCCAGCCCAGGCAGTAAAGTCCATGAGACTCTTTTCTCCAATTAGCCACCAAAAGGTGGAAGTGGAGCTGGGATTCAAGTGTTAAAGAATCAGCCTTGAGTGAAAAAGCTAAGCAAGAACACAAGACTTTGAGTTCAAGCTCCAACACTAGCATACAAACAAAGAAAAGATAAGAAACAAAGAGTACTATATCCAGCTTATCCTGAGAGTAGTTACTTTATCTTTGGTAAATTAAAAATGTGAATGCTAGAAAAGTTAGGGTCTAATTAAAATAAGCATCAACAAATAGATGAAAAATAACCCCTTTTCTGAATAGTAAAGTCTGGTTATAGAGTGAAAATCTGAAGTTCTCTGGTGAACTCAAACCTGAGCCAAGAGAGTGACTGTTAGGAAGTAGGAACTTGGCTGGATTCTCCAGAGATAGTTCCCTGACCTATGAGCTGTTTAGACTGATCTCTGCTCTGGAGAAGAAAATGAGGTATGAGCAGATTGAAAGAGACTGTGTGGGCAGTTTCACAGCCTGGACTAGGCCTGGTGGCTCATTGATTCCTGAAACTGATGAGTCTTTCAGAGTTCAATAATAACAAGCTCAACTTCAAGCAAATCAGTTTTGGCCTTATGCCCTTCCCCCCAGCCTAGACTGCTCCCTCAGTCCAGCCTCTTGAATGAGAGGGCCCTGGATTTCATCAAGGAAACATCAAGGACTTGTAATGGAGCCACCTCAGAGCAGAGCCCCTCCTCCCTTCCCAGCACTACAGCGGAACTGCACAGTTGTAGAAGGCCAGGGAATATAAGACTTCACCCCCTTAATTCCTATTTTTCCCAATAGGAAAGGTGAGAGCTCCAGAGAGGGACTACCTTACGTTCAGGAAGCAGAACTGGCTGGAGACAACTCCTGGGGAAGCAAGCAGTTCTGGGCCAGGCTCTGCTCTATGGAAGGACAATTGGGATCCTGGAAGGGCGACACTCCAGCCAAGATCACTGGGCAAAAAAGCAGCTAATGGGAAGGGTCCTCACCACTCTCTAGCAGGGCATCTGGCACAGTGTACTGGAGGGTAATTTATCATCCTTGTATAATAGTAACAATATTTCTTTGTAATAATATCATATTCTTCACCCTACTGTTAAGTTCCTCAAGGGCAGGAGTCATATCTATGCTGTTCAGTGCTTTATGCTCAGTGCCAATCCCATCAGGTGGTACACAGTAGGTACTCCAGAAGTATGCATTTGGATAAATGAATTAATGAATCTGGATTATAGACGAGACAAATAAGTCCTTACTAAAGATTTAACCTGGCCAAAGGGACGAAAGAAAGTCACTGTGGGGGCTGGGAAGGTGGCTCAGTGGTAGAGCGCTTGCCTTGCATGCATGAGGCCCTGGGTTCAATTCCTCAACGCTACATAAGCAGAAAAAGCTGGAAATGGTGCTGTGGCTCAAGTGGCAGAGTGCTAGCCTTGAGCTGAAGAGCTGACAGGGCCCAGGCCCAGAGTTTGGGCCCCCAGATTGACAAAAAAAAGTCCCTGTGGTTTCTGGAATGGAACACGAGGAAGGAGATACTTGAAAACTTTTCATTTGAAGGCAATGTAGAAGCCAAGGCTTCTGCACCCACCTGTGTCCACATCCTTAAGGCCAAGTAGCCAGTAAGTACTCTGTGAATTCAACATTTCTTATGATTTGCTCAAAAGTCTTAGCACTGCACATTTAAGAAGAAAGAAGAGAGAAGGAAGAAATGTGCAAAATGGAGGAAGAGAAGGCCCTTAACATCCAAACCAGATCTAAAGGAGCTGGGTACTTCCTACCTATCCATCAACTCAGGAGCTCAAGGACTGCAGCAGCTCCTCTTGCCATCATGCCCAGAAGTTCTGCCTAAGCCTGAGCTGGATCTGCTTGTGCAATCAAATAGCAATCTGGAATAGAAGCAGAGACTAAGAGAGAAAGGAAGGAACTAGCAAGGACCTGCTTTCCTTCTCAATTCCCTCTTGCTGTAAAAAAATCTTACAATTTTAGACAAAAAATGAATTTGGGCTGGACACAGGGTATGACAGTTTATGACTGTAATTCTAGCTTGGAAGGCTAACAATGGGAGGATTAAGTTTCAAGGCTGGCCTGGGCAGAAAAGTTTGAGAGATCTTTTTGCAACCCATAGCTGGGTACAGTAGCACATACTTGATGTACCAAGATACATGGGAAGCTGAGATGGTGCCAAGCCAGCACAGACAAGAAAGTCTGAAATCTCCTCTGGAGGGAAACTGGATATGGTGACTCTGATTCTGGCAGCACTAGGAAGCCTAAAAGTTGCCTGGGACAGAAAGTGAGAATCTATACTAAAAACAATCAGTGAAAATCAGAGATGGAGGTGTGGCTCAGCTTAGCAGGCATGAGGCTCTGAGTTTGAACCCTAGTTCCTCCAAATGCAAATAGAAAAAATGAATACTATACAATAGGCCATTTCTCTTTCAAGCTGATAGAAGGCTTCCACAGCTGCAAAGTCCATTTAGCCTGCCCTGCTTCCTGATTTAGCCTGCAGTCTTATTCCAGGATGAGGAAAAGAAAGCTTCCACCATGTTGCTATTTCTCAAACCCACCCATCATCCAATGAGTAGCAAGTTGGTAGTTAAGGAAGGATACAGAAAGTTTCTCTTTCACATTCCTTCATGGCTAAACAACTCTTTTGTCTAAGAACTTTTGTTTGTTTGAGTTGCTTTTGTACTTTTTTTGTTCTGGTTCTGGGGCCTAGCATTGTTCCTGAGCTTTTGTACTCAAGTCTATCACTCTACCACTTGAGCTACAGCTCCACTTCTGTCTTTTTTGGTGGTTAATTGGCTGCGGTCCTGAAATCTCAGACATCAGTGCCAGTACCAGGCTGATTTTGTACTTTTCAGAGTGCTGAGGATCAATCTAGCTTTCTAGGCAAGCTTTTTCACTGAATCATAACCCCACACCTGTGTTACTTGTTTTGTTTAGTTTGATGTTTGAATTAGGATGTATTTTATCATAATTGCATAGATTGAAACAATGTATTTTGAATAAGTCCCCTTTATTACAGCTCCATCTACCATCTCTCCTCCTCTCCTTTACAGTATTTGGTGAGTTCCAAGCTCTGTGTGTGTGTGATACTTAGCTCTACTTCATCTCTGTGTTCTTTCCTTTCCCCCTTTTCTCCCACTGAATTCTCCCCATTCCAGAATATATATTCCACCCACATCCCCTTGCCATGTGACTCAGGTGAGATGCTTTCATAGTAAATGAAAAAATATGTAGTTAATGGAGGATTTAAATTTTTTGCTCAATTTCAACCCTAGCATTTTATTGTTTCCTGGTTTCTACGTATCTGTATGGAAAGAAATTAATGAGATTGGTCAACACTAGATGGACTCTTCCCCCCCAAATATTATTTAGCTTATTTGATAGCAATGCTTGGCCCAGCAGTTAAGAGTGCAAGTAGTCTCTCCTTAGACACACAGCCCAGTAGCCAAAGAAAATCTGTTCTAATCAGTGAAAAGAGTGAGAGCACTGAGGAGGGGAGGATGAATACCTTAAGATTTGAGAGGAAAATATGTTTATGCCCTGGAGACAACAGAGGCTTA